ACAAATGTCAGTCTTAAAGGAGACTTTTCTTGATGCGGTGACTTTGCGATGCTCTGTGGTAACTTGCGATTCTCTGCAGTGACTTGCGATGCTCTGCGGTGACTTGCGATTAGTATCGTGAACTCTCTGGATGCAACACGTGGTCTCTTGATGGATAGCGGTGCGGGCACTCTAGCTCTGGACTCTGGCCCTCCCCCCATGCATCTCTTTCTCTCTCTAGGGGTGCAGGAGGTTTGGCGCTCTTTCTCTGACTGTCTTGCCTTTGCCGTTATGCCACTTTAAGAGTCGTCTGCAGTCTGACTAATGCCCACGTGCTATGGCCTGTACTGTTGTTCCGCTGAGGTGTCTCCGCGTGGCGGTATATGTTGGCACTCTATTTCTCTAGTGTACTCTTTACTGTGCAAGTTGAGGAGCGCTGTTGCTTGACCTCTGAGGGCAATAGTTCCACTGTGGCAGGCGCAGAACCCTTTGGTGCCTAGTGCGCTGTGGCATTAGAAAAAATTATGCAATAGCTGTTTCTTTGTTGGATTAGACTGACTTTACTCTGTAATTCCTCCAATGCCGCTCTATGGATGCAGTAGGTTTAAAGAGCACACCGAATACTTTAGTTAACTTCTTTAATAACGTCAATCTTCTTCATATAACTGCTTACAATGGCTTGTTTCATTTATCATACAATGGTTTAACTTGTATTACATTGGGTTGATTCAATAGATTGATAAATTCGTAGTTTCCGTTAGATTCAGTAAATTCGATTTGCTATATTCGATTCGATAAATTCGTTATATTCGTTATATTCGTTCGGTGGAACTACAAGTAAAACACACACACAACAGTTTCAACACACAGATCTACCTGCACTGCCAAACAATAGAGGAACACACAAGTGCATTAAATACCTATTTGGCCTTCTCTGCCTCCATAAAGCTTTTCTGATTGGAACTGTCTGTTTCCTCTTCTGTCTGGTGAGCATGTGTCTCTAGAAAATCCTAGCAGGAAGTTTTACACAGGCATAGATGTGAAACTGGCTGGGATTGGTTAAGGCTCTGTACAGTGTAAGGCTGTCTGTGATTGGCTCTTCTTTAACTAACTCTTAAAGGCATATTTTCCTTTTCTGCTTCTGCTAACACAATGAATATATAAATGTCATATAACAATCAAAGACATAAATTACAGCAATGATTCTGCTTTTGGCTTTAACATATGCACATATATACTGTACTGAGGTTATTGGCAGGTTTGGTATACACATATATGTGAACCATATTAACAACCTAGGACTGGTCTTAGCTGGCCAGCTACATGATGTACTCAGCATCTGACTGACTCGGGTCTAGCAAACCAATCAGGTCATGTCATGGACAAACTGGATCATTATTGATAGGTTCTCCATATTGCACCTTTCCCGTGTCCCATCACTCTATATACAGAACCCTGCTGTGTCAGCATTGTCATATTTATTTGTTATTTATTGCAACACAAGACTCACCATAGATTCAATTATCTCATTTTGCACATTATGGAATGTATATTTAGCATTTTGTGGCATGCCATTTACTATATCTCGGAGTTTAGTAATCCTTTAGTAATGTGCATTCAAATAGCTTCCGGAACAGTCCTGCAGACACATCATCTTCTTTCCTGGACTCTGGGATCTCAGAGCTCCCACGGGAGGGCAACTCATTCACAGCCAGGAATTGAACTACTTCCCCTATGCTTTTACATAGTACATATCAGGGGCGGACTGACCATTTGAAAACGCGGGCACTGCCTGAGGGCCCGGGGTCAGTAGGGGGCCCCATGAGATGCCCCTGGTACCTTTTTCATAGGCTTTTTTTTGAGTTTGGGCAAGGACACAGGGGCCCCATGATCCCCTATTGCCCAGGGGCCCCATGAGTTGTCAGTCCGCCCTGGTACATATTCTTCTCAAGCCCGGTCATAGATTGCTGAACTCCTCTTTACACACAGCACATAACTAAGCTGGATTCCATTACAGATCGGCACTGTGTGTGAGCTGCTGCAGCTACACTGTTGTTCTGACACATCGGACAGGCAGGTTTGGGGGGGGGGCAGGACTGACATCTGGGGGGCACTGCCCACCCCAGCACCCCCTAGATCCAACCATGCTTGTTAAATCAAAATAAGTCTCCCCCACCCCTCTGAGGATTGCAGTAATCTATCCATCTTCCTGGATGACTTTGCTGCCTGGCTTCCCTTCTTCCTCTCCTCTGAGCTACTGACCGTCATCCTCGGGGATTTCAATATCCCCATCAACGTCAACAACCCGGCTACTTCCCAACTCCTCCTCCTAACCTCCTCTTTCGTGCTCACACAGTGCACACAGTCCTCCACCCACACCGATGGGAACACCCTGGACCTCGTTTTCTCCCACCTCTGTACCATCCACAACTTCACTAACACCCCCCTTCCCTCTCTCTGACCACCACCTCCCCCCCCTCCTCTAACCCCCCCCCCAAAGCATCAAACCATCACCAGCCATAACCTCCACAACCTGAACCCGGCCCCTCTCCACTCGCCAGCTGACCGTCTGTACTACAGTATCCTTCCACTGTCATGCCCTGACCTGGCCACTACTGAGTACAACGACTCACTGTCAGCTGCCCTAGACTCCCTGGCACCCCTAACCACACGTAACATTAGACCCCAACCGCTTCAACCCTGGCAGAATGACCATATAAAATGTCTCAAATGACGCAGTCGCGCGCTGGAGCGATTATGGAGCAAAACCAGATCCCCTCGAGCGTTCTCCCTCTACAAATCCGCCTTCCTCACCTACACCTCCTCCCTCCACGCCGCCAAGCAAGCCTATTTCGTAACCCTCATCAACACCCTCTCCACCTGTCCTCGCCGGCTCTTCTCCACTTTCAACTCCCTGCTCTCCCCCCCCCCCCCACCTCCACTCAGTACCTCACTCACCGCCCACGAGATTGCCAATCATTTCCAAAACAAGATTGACGCAATCCGTAAGGACATTGTCAATTCACAGTCTACCTCTCCACCTTGCCTCCCTCCCTCCATCACCCCCTCAACTCTCCCCCTCCTCTGACCTCGCAACCGCACTGCCCACCACCATACCTAACGTCCCGCAGACTATAACCTCCCCAACACTCCGCTCCTTCAGCCCTGCTACCACTGAGGAGGTCACTACTGTAAGGTGAAGGTGAAGCCCACCTCACCACTTGCCCTGTCAGGGCTCCCGGGTATGACCAGAGGTATGTGACTGACGCAGGGAAACGCAGACTTCAGATATGTTATAAACAATATAATTTATTAACACTAACAATACAAACATAAAAGCAGTGCAATACTAAAACATAACACAGTGCAAACAAACCAAACCAACCACCCACAGATAACAGTACATAGAATGCAAGCCTCGTCAGGCAGGCCGGGTCAATATCAATCGGGCAGGTAGGTACAGGGGGAGCAAGCGGAGAATGGTTGGGGTCACAAGCCAGGTTCAGCAGGTAGCGGGCAGCGTGGTACAGAGGGTCAGGCAGAGGGATGGTCAGGAACGAGCCGGGGACAGAGCAGGAGAATGGTCAGACAAAGCCAGGGATCAGAGCAGGAGAATGGTCAGACAAGCCAGGGATCAGAGCAGGGTCAGCAACGAATCAGACAGGAGCAGGAACAGGAACAGGGTAGCAGGAACAGGATACAGGGCCCAGGAGAAACACACACCAAGGCAGAGTCTGCAGGTCTGGCTATCCCTTAAATACACCAGTATAATTAGTTCCAGGTGTTTTGGCTGGCTGCAAGGTTGAGTCTCTGATTGCTGGGAGCACCCGCTGGCCAGCCCTGGTACTGCAGCCCATAAGGCAGGTGAGTCCCACCATTGCTGGCCAGTCCATTCCTGACAGTACCCCCCCCCCCAAGGAGCGGCCTCAGGACGCTCCAAACAGTCCTAGCTGGGCAAAATGTTCCACCGCCCGGGTCTGGTAACTGGCGGGATATCAAAGACTGGCACACCGGGCAGGACTCCGGGCAGCGGCACACCGGGCAGGACTCCGGGCAGAGGCCCATCGGGCAGTGGCACACCGGGCAGAGGCCCATCGGGCAGTGGCACACCGGGCAGAGGCACACCGGGCAGAGGCACACCGGGCTGGACTCCGGGCAGAGGCACATCGGGCTGGACTCCGGGCAGAGTCACATCGGGCTGGACTCCGGGCAGAGGCACATCGGGCTGGACTCCAGGCAGAGGCACATCGGGCTGGACTCCGGGCAGAGGCACATCGGGCTGGACTCCGGGCAGAGGCACCAAGCCCCCAGGCGGAGCGGCGGGCGCCAGGCCCCCAGGAGGGGCGACAGGCATCGGGCCCCCAGGAGGGGCGACAGGCATCGGGCCCCCAGGTGGGGCGACAGGCATCGGGCCCCCAGGCGGAGCGGCGGGCGCCGGACCCCCAGGCGGAGCGGCGGGCGCCGGACCCCCAGGCGGAGCGACAGGTCTCCGGCCCCCAGGCGGAGCGGCGGGCGCCGGACCCCCAGGCGGAGCGACAGGTCTCGGGCCCCCAGGCGGAGCGGCGGGCGCCGGACCCCCAGGCGGAGCGACAGGTCTCGGGCCCCCAGGCGGAGCGGCGGGCACCGGACCCCCAGGCGGAGCGACAGGTCTCGGGCCCCCAGGCGGAGCGGCGGGCGCCGGGACCCCCAGGTGGAGCGACACACACCGAGTCACCAGGCACAACAGTGTTCTCCGAGTCAACTGGCATGACCGCTGGCACTGGGTCAGACATTGGATCGTCTGGCTGGACAGCGGGCATCGGGTCACCAGGCATCAGGTCATTTGGCTCGACAGCGGGCACCGCGTCATCTGGCAAGGCAGTGGGCTCCGAGTCAACTGGTATGACTGCGGGCACTGGGTCAGACATTGGATCGTCTGGCTGGACAGTGGGCATCGGGTCACCAGGCATCAGGTCATTTGGCTCGACAGCGAACACCGCGTCATCTGGCAAGGCAGTGGGCTCCGAGTCAACTGGCATGACCGCGGGCACTGGGTCAGACATTGGACCGTCTGGCTGGACAGCGGGCATCGGGTCACCAGGCATCAGGCCATTTGGCTCGACAGCGGGCACTGCGTCATCTACCACCAGGCAGTGGGCACCAAGTCACCAGGCACGACAGTGGGCTCTGAGTCAATTGGCACGACAGCGGGCACCGGGTCATCAGGTACCGGATTGTCTGGCTCGACAGCGGGCATCGGTTCACCAGGTATGACAGCGGGCACTGGGTCACCAGGCATCAGGTCATTTGGCTCGCCAGCGGGCACCGCGTCATCTGGCAAGGCAGTGGGCACCGAGTCACCAGGCACGACAGCGGGCTCTGAGTCAATTGGCACGACAGCGGGCACCGGATCAGGTACCGGATCGTCTGGATCAACAGCGGGCATCGAGTCAACTGGCCTAATAGGATCATCAGGCTGGATCAGTTCATCATGCTGGGTAGAGGCATCAGGCTGAATGGAGGCATCAGGCTGAAGAGAGGCATCAGGCTGAAGAGAGGCATCAGGCTGAAGAGAGGCATCAGGCTGAGTAGAGGCATCAGGCTGAGTAGAGGCATCAGGCTGGGTACAGGCATCAGGCTGGGTACAGGCATCAGGCTGAGTACAGGCATCAGGCTGGGTACAACAAATCTGTCCATGTCTGCAGTATGGGTTGAACAAAGCTGAGCTTACACAAAGCCTGTCTGACCAAAGACTGCAATGCGTTTATACAATCCCTTAATACCTGTGGTGAACATGCAGAATAACGCTCCAGAAAGTAATCCACATCATCCACTAATAACCATACCAGGGACTCTACCTGGTCGGCACTAAATGGCAGCAAAAATTCATCCCTGCATTCGGGGGTACCAGATGAAACCAACTCCGCACAAACCTGAATCTGCAACTCAGAGAATTCTGTGCCCTGATCTACTAGAACATGAGCGAGCCGTATACATTCCAGCAGTTCATCCCTGGGATACTCCTTCAGAGTCTGATAAGCATACTCTCTGTCATCAAACACTAGCAGATATAAATACACAACCTCATCAAGATCCATCCTTTCCAGCAACAAACCAAGATGGCTTCCCTGTGCAGCCACTTCTGGTCAGGATTGGCCTTGGTGTAATGTCAGGGCTCCCGGGTATGACCAGAGGTATGTGACTGACGCAGGGAAATGCAGACTTCAGATATGTTATAAACAATATAATTTATTAACACTAACAATACAAACATAAACGCAGTGCAATACTAAAACATAACACAGTGCAAACAAACCAAACCAACCAACCACAGATAACAGTACATACAATGCAAGCGTCGTCAGGCAGGCCGGGTCAATATCAATCGGGCAGGTAGGTACAGGGGGAGCAAGCGGAGAATGGTCGGGGTCACAAGCCAGGTTCAGCAGGTAGCGGGCAGCGTGGTACAGAGGGTCAGGCAGAGGGATGGTCAGGAACGAGCCGGGGTCAGAGCAGGAGAATGGTCAGACAAAGCCAGGGATCAGAGCAGGAGAATGGTCAGACAAGCCAGGGATCAGAGCAGGGTCAGCAACGAATCAGACAGGAGCAGGAACAGGAACAGGAACAGGGTAGCAGGAACAGGATACAGGGCCCAGGAGAAACACACACCAAGGCAGAGTCTGCAGGTCTGGCCATGCCTTAAATACACCAGTATAAGCAGTTTCAGGTGTTTGGCTGGCTGCAAGGTTGAGTCTCTGATTGCTGAGAGCACCCGCTGGCCAGCCCTGGTACTGCAGCCCATAAGGCAGGTGAGTCTCACCATTGCTGGCCAGTCCATTCCTGACATGCCCCCTGGACCCTATCCCCTCACAACTCCTCTGGTCACCCCCCTCCTCCATCATTTGCTCCCTCATCCACATCTTCAATCTCTCCCTCTCTACTGGCGCATTCCCCTCCCCTCTAAAGCACGCACACATCACCCCCATACTCAAAAAACCCTCCCTTGACCCCACTGACCTAAACAACCTTAGACCCTTCTCCCTGCTGCCACTCACTTCCAAGCTCCTTGAGCGCTTAGTCTACAATCGCCTAAGCGCCCACCTCACTGACAATAACCTCCTTGATCTACTACAGTCTGGCTTCCATCCCCTACACTTCACTGAAACCGCCCTACTTAAAATCACTAACGACCTGCTAACCGCCAAAGCTAATGGCCACTACTCTGTCCTCCTGCTCCTCGACCTCTCTGTGGCCTTCGACACAGTCGACCACCCCCTCCTCCTTACTAAACTACACTCCCTTGGCATCAGGGACTCTGCTCTCTCCTGGTTCTCCTCTTACCTATCCCAACGCTCCTTCAGCGTTACCTATAACGCTGCCACCTCCCCCTCTCTCCCCCTCTCTGTTGGAGTCCCCCAAGGCTCTGTCCTTGGACCCCTTCTCTTCTCCATCTACACCTCCTCCCTTGGCAAACTGATACACTTTCACGGCCTCAACTATCACCTCTATGCCGACGACACACAAATTTACCTCTCCACCCCTCACCTCACCCCCTCACTCTCCGGACGCATCGCCCACCTCCTGAACGACATATCAGACTGGATGTCGCTCCATTTCCACAAGTTAAACCTGTCCAAAACCGAGCTCCTAGTTTTCACCCCAGCCCGCGCCCCCCCCCATCCTCTCCATCACGACTAGCAACGCCACCATCAATCCCACCCCACACGCCAAAGTCCTGGGTGTCACCCTGGACTCAAACCTTTCCTTCCAACCTCATGGCTCCACCTCTGCAACATCTCCAAGATATGTACGTTCCTAACCCCAGACACTACTAAACAACTCTTCACTCCCTCATTATCTCATGCCTGGACTACTGCAACTCCCTTCTCACTGGTCTACCCAAACACATGCTATCCCCGCTCCAGTCTATCCTGAACTCAGCGGCCAGACTCATCCACCTCACCAACCGCTCCACTTCTGCCACCCCCCTCTGCCTATCCCTTCACTGGCTCCCGATTGCCCAACGCATTAAATTCAAATTACTAACTCTGACATACAAAGCCATTCATAATGCTGCCCCAAACTACCTCACTGACCTGATACCCAAATACCACCCTGCCTGTGCCCTTCGCTCCTCACAAGACCTCCTACTCTCTAGCTCCCTGGTCTCCTCCTCCCACGCCCGACTGCAGGACTTCTCCAGGACTTCCCCCATCCTCTGGAACTCCCTACCCCAATCCATCAGACTGTCACCTACCCTTCTCACCTTTAGGTGCACCCTGAAAACCCATCTATTCAGGGAAGCCTACCCCACCCTCACCTAACAGCCGATCTCCTCCACTCCTCCTACCACTCCATCCCCCACAGCCACTTCCTCCTGTACCTCTACTCCCTCCCTCCTAGATTGTAAGCTCAAAAGAGCAGGGCCCTCGAACCCCTCATGTATTGTATTGTTACTGTATTGTCTCATGTTCTGTCCCCCCCACTATAATTTACAGCGCTGAGCAAACCATTTGGCGCTATATAAACACTGTATAATAATAATAATAAGTTGATTGCATGGTCAGATTGTAACATGTATAGTGAAACTGAAGGCCCATACAGATGATCAGAAAATCAAACAAAAATAAACACAGTGGTGATTAGACACGCGCATACGTAAACAACGATCGCACCACACATGAGGAATCATCACAAACATCAAAGCAACCGTACAATAATCTGATCATCAGTACACAGCTTTCGAGAGCCGATCAGGACAAGTTGTGTGAAATGATCCGGTTGAACTAGAACGAAAATGTTTCTAGTACGATACCAGATTGTATGATTTTCGTTTAATTAGTACAGTTTTTGTCCAAAAATACAATACAAATACAATACATGGCATCACTTCTGAATTTTTTCGTAAATTTAGTAACACCTTCATCAGAGGCATCCCTAGGGTTGGTGTCACCCGGTGCGGTAACACTTGGTGACACCCCCTCCGACGATCCCGCAGAATGGATCAGATCTGCGGATTGAGCATAATGGATCGGACTCCGATCCATTATGCTCAATCCGCAGATCCGATCCATCCTGCGGGGATCGTCAGCTTTCTTTTTCTTTTCTTAGAGCGAGTCTGGTGTCACCCGGTATAGGTTGCATGCTCCCCGCAGGATGGTTCAGATCCATTATGCTCCCCAATCCACTAATCCAATCCATCCTGCGGGGATCGTTGGCATGCATCCTATACGGGGTGACACCGGACCTGCTCCAACAAAAGGTAAGTTGTAAAGAAAGCCAACGATCCCCGCAGGATGGATCGGATCTGCGGATTGGGGAGCATAATGGATCAGATCCATCCTGCGGGGATCGTCGGCTTTCTTTTTCTTTTCTTAGAGCGGGTCTGGTGTCACCCGGTATAGGTTGCATGCCGATGATACCCGCAGGATGGTTCGGATCCATTATTCTCCCCAATCCACAGATCCAATCCATCCTGCGGGGATCGTTGGCATGCATCCTAAAGGGGGTGACACCGGACCTGCTCCAAGAAAAGGTAAGTTGTAAAGAAAGCCAACGATCCCCGCAGGATGGATCGGATCTGCGGATTGGGGAGCATAATGGATCAGATCAATCCTGTGGGGATCGTCGGCTTGCTTTACAACTTACCTGTTCATGGAGCGGGTCTGGTGTCACCCCGTGCGGTCGGTGTCACCTGGTGCGGGCTGCACCTGCCTTGGGACACCACTGACCTCCATGGATATGGAGATTAGCGTTCAAAAAAATGATTGTCCGATAATGTCATCGTGTGTACCAGGCTTTACACAACTACAGCAAACAACAGATTCTGCTCCATCAGTAATTACGCTTTATTGGGCCTATTCATAACAGTATGGAAAATATATTTCTGATGTCCAGCACATTTTTATTTTGTTATAAATGAAAAGTTAAAAAAAAAAAAAAAAAGCAGTTCCTTATGCATTTTGCTAACAGCTCCTATCATCTATTACTATGTACTCACCAAGCAGAAGGCAGTAGCAAGGTGGGACTGTAAGATGCATGTTAGATCTGCGTTCTGTATGATAACATGAATGAAATGTGCAGAAGAAAACCTGTACCTCTATTTATATCCCTCTCCGATCTGCTCCTAACGCCCCCACCTTCTAGTTCCTCCTAGTACTGCATACGCCTTCCAAATGGCCTGTCTCTTCTAAATCCTCTGTTCTCCTTGCAGGGAGGGGAAGGGTAGGAGGCTCTAGTGATGTCTGATTTCTGAACCATTCCCAGTCATACGTAGCTATTTGTTGCATGAGTTTTTTTTTCTTGTGTTAGCTGTTCAGATGCACAGTTCATATTACCAGCAGTGTCTGACTAGAAGAAAAACACAGAGACGCTGCACCCTCTTCAGGCACTGCAATAGAGTGGTAGGACTTATGCAGAGTCACTTTTGAAATTCATTCAAGAAGGACTTATGTGAGCA